TCCCACTCGAGAGGAATTCTCTTGCCTGCACCTCAGGATTGTAAGAACTCTGGGGAGCAGTGGTGCTCTTGCTGTACGGTCTCTCTGCATTCTGTACGAGTATGGCTCTCGGCATGAAGAATACCTCCCTCCCCGTATTTTCAATATTTTCCGGGTCCTGAATTGGGAACCAATGTGTTAAATCATATGGCCCTTTAAATAGGTTCAGTGAGCCAATGAGTGGGTTTTCGTCTGGAACAATTGAATGAATCGTCTGGAACAATTTAATGAATCACAGTGTGGACGGCTTTTCGCTAACGCAGAACTCCGCTCATAAAAAGTGCGAGTTATAGGTGGTGCCTTGCTGGTTGCGATATGAAATGTTATAGGATCGTGATATCGTGGCAGATAGTGGGGCTCATGTGGTTTATATGTTGAGTTTGGCTGTAGCTCATCCTTATCGGAGGTTAGGTCTTGCATCAAGACTCCTCAGACATTTATTGGATTCGGTGAGTTGTACAAACTGCTTGTTCTTCACTTGTTGCCATTCTTCTTTTTCGATTGGCTTCTCTTTATCAGGTTGTGGACAATTCCCCGTACCCGAAGGCTGTATTTTTACATGTTTTGTCGACTAATTTACCCGCAATAAAATTCTACAAATCACATGGATTCGTTCATCACACTACCTTGTTGTGAGTTCGTTTTGTATTTTGCAAGTGAAAGTTTTGCTGTTAGGTAGCAGCTTATACAAGATTTTTCCGCACAAAAACACCATTTTAGAAATTATTATCATCTCAAGTCTGAGTTTGGAGACGCATGCACTTATGTGCTTTACACGAATGGGTCACGACCTCCGTTCTCTCTCAGTGATGTTTGCCGATCAGTGGGCACAGCCCTTTGTTTTCCGCTCAAAGCTTTATGCCGAACGTTTTTTCAATGATGAAATTAGTGTATGAGAAGGTCCCTTTCTTATGGAATAGAAATGGCGCTTCTCTAGTTGCTGTTAGATTTTCTACCAAGGGCTCGACCAGGAGGCGACCTGTCCAGTAGGTGACTATTTAAAATGGTATTATGTTATCGAGGTTCAGGGAACCATCCCGCTAAAACCGCTGAGGCTGCGGTCATACACGACGATTTTGAACGAATTACAGTACGAATACAGTTGATATCGTAATCAGTCGGGGGATGGGGTAAGAGGGATGGAATGAGCCCATCTGTGGCTTTTCCACCACTGGTTGTTTTCGTCCTAAATTGATCAGACCTATCACTATTGGTAGAAAAGGCAGCCGGTTACGGGCTCAGTCCGCCCCTGCTGACACCACACCTACCCGACCGATTGGCGCCCTTATCAGCTATATACGTATCGATTTGGACGATCTGGTGAATCCAGGAGAAGGAGGCGATAAACACTCGGTAGAAATTGATTGTTGGGGTCCCGCTACCCACGCGTTTCGGGGTTTTGGAAGAATTTGGATCACTACGTATACGTTCTTTATTTCCGCGAATTCTTCAGAATTGTTTTGTATGAACGCTGCCTGGAGCACTGTTATGCTATGAACAACCCTGTTAGCGAAGTTTATAACTAGTCGGTTGGGTTTCAAAGGTACGGCGCAGTTCGCCAGGGAGGGGCATTTCGCACTGTCGCTGCTTCACTAGTACCTGTTTACAAGTCTCGGTATGGTGAAAACTGTGAACTACTGTGAAGCTGGAGCAAGCTCGTCGAGCCGCCTTGGTAAAACATGTCAGCTCTTGTAAGCTCACAAAATGGCTGTCTAGATGGGTCGACATCTCGATGTGAAGTAGCAAAAGTGCGATGTGCCCCCCCCCACTTCCGCCGAACTGCCCCCCCCCCCCAGTGTACTCCAAACTTTGCCAGTGTGAGGCTAGTATATCCATGATAGGATATCATTATTCGAGCCGTTACTAGGGTCTTTTAACCCCCACCCCTCCCTTATACAAGCACTTCTACCATCGCGGCTGTCGCAGTTGTAACAAGTCAGTTTGAAGTATAATGGACATGAGCACATACACTCTAGTTCGCTGCGGACGGTTGGGCGTGTCAGGCAGTATGAGTGTGTCACCCCGTCAAAGCCGTTCTCTGCCTTCTTGTTGAAGCGCGCATGCGACAAAAAGTGGTAGAAAACGAGTAATACGAACGATATGATACAGTCATATCATGCTCGCTTTAACAACTGGTGGAAACTGGTGCCAAACTCATCCCGCCTGACACGCCCAACCGTCCGCAGCAAACCACACTATATCAATGAGCGATTCGATCCTTAGCCGATTAATTAGTGTGTTAATCTGCAAGCATATCAGAGCCGCAATATATCATTCTACCCCCTATCCGTGATCGAGTTCCATCTCATTCTGCCTGACTGGGTAAGGACACAAAAGCTTTTTAATCACTTACCTTCTATGCCCCGTGGTCGGACAAGGTCTGCCCAGATTCGTCATTCTTGTTTACTCTTACCTACCAGCTTGGTCGGAAATGTTCTTTCCAAGTTCTGTAGTGGCTTGTGCTTTTTCTATTGCTCGCAAAAGTTTCGCTATAATGCTTCTCCTATCCGAAATATTACCCTGTCATCGTTTCGTTGTTTTGCAAAAATCTCCAATGACTCAGGAAATTGTCAGCTTTTATGTGTGTGTTACTATCAGCCATCGTTACCGGTATACTTATGATTGTACATAGTACACGTTTTATGTGACCCTTTGTATTCCAATCGGGTCAGGCGCGAGGTTTGGTTCTTACCATGAGATTAACTAGCTTTCCATCCTCTAACCATTCTTCGTTACGAACTTGCTCCTCTTTCAGAACACATACTTGTTTCATATGATTTCTAGTATGAACTCACGATCTACGACTTCTGGGAATCCGCGAAAAGGATAAGATACGTCATCTTGGACAGGGCACATTATTGATTGGGATTTTGGTCGAGTCCGTACGACCCCCCTCCCTTTTTTGGGGTTGGTACGACCCCCTTCGGCCCTCTGTCCTTTCTCATGGAATCGACCGTTGAAAGGCGGGGTGGGGATAAGCAACGATTGAAACAGGAAAAGCCGCGACACAATACGACCCCTACCAATACTCAGATTGTCTCAATTTGCTGCCACTTTTTCCAGAACTTCCCGAAAAATTCCCTGTTTTTTCCCAAAAATTTTGCTGTCGAGGGGGGAGGGCAATATAGAACGCATAAGAACACTTCTCACCACTCCCTAGAAAGCCAAAAGTAATATCCGAGCCCCCCCCGCCTTTACCCAACGTCCGTGAAGCTGAAAAAGCACCATCGTACATAATTCTTCTCGGCCCAAATACGATCCACCCATCTCCTGGCGCTAAATCACCTCCCCCCTCTTGGATTCCAACAACCGACGTGCTCTGATATTGGTGGAACCCTGAAGAAAGCTCGAGACGGGTCTACTAACTGTGGGTAACTATCTATCTGTGGGTAACTTTTGCTGAACACGAACCTTTCAATTTTTCTGGTTGCAGTGGTATTGTGCCACTGGCTCAGGGATATATAATGCGTCTGAAACGGGAAAATCACCATCAGAAACATCCAGAGACCGAACACGAACCCCTCCTGAGCGAATAAATACGACCCGTTGTGTTTTACACAACGATGATGTAATCCCTGATTAATGCCTCGCCGGGTTCTTGATCTGTGCTCCCCATCTGCAAAGCCTTAAATACGACTTCGATGACGTACCCAGGGCAACCTCGCGCGACTCCGATTGCCAAATAATGCAAGCCAAGGAATGTATCAGCGCAACGATGGTGCAATTTTCCTAGCTGTAAGAGAATTAGCATCTCATCAGGACAGTCTATGAATGATCGCAAGAGATCGTTTTTTGTAGTTGTTTCAATGATCCTTGCCGAGGTCGTGGTATCGCTCACGACGAGTATTCGATTAATAATGGCAGTGGCGCTTTAGATATTCTATGAATAGTCTCGTGATTGCATGCTTATACTATCGTGTCTCTTGATGTTTATTGAATTATTAAAAAAAAGGAATAAACGTTTATGTCTTTATGTTGTGGCGTTTCATTCAACGAAGAATTGATCATAGTTCCATTTGATATGTGTTGGTGATGATCATCAATATTTATCACTTCGGCCGATTGTCCGACTGGTTGATGTGCGGCAGTCTTGCGGTATCTGCGGTGCTGGATGTTGTTCGGCAATCGCCCGTAATTCTTTTCGTACACGCTAAAATAGAAAAAAATTAAAAGATTTCACCAAAATGCAGCATCTAGAACCTAACCAATTATTAGATAAATTGGAAGTTCTGAAATGAGACATGACATTTAAAAACTGATCAGGGAACATGCGTCCCTCAATCATGGTCAAGTATGCTTTACGGAGTCCGCACTGCGAGGTGGGGACTGGGGACATTCAGATTTCGTGCAGGAGTTGGGAGAGATTGATCTCTCAGGCAAGCATATCGTTTAACTCGCTGCGGACGAAGGGGCGCGTCAGGCGGGATGAGTTTGGGCGGGATGGGTTTGGCGCAGTGACAAAACCCCTGCTCTACCAGGCTAATGCCGTTTGGACGCGCTCTTTTATGGCTGCTGGCTCATTTATGAAGTCTAGATCATTAAACCCACTGAAATCTTGTATACAGGAGTTATTCAACATCCTGATTATAGGTATGGCAGTCGTTCTTGGCGCTAGCGGACAGTACGATTATCTTTAAAGTAAGCCTTAGCAGAGTGCTGATATTCGTAAGTGTCTCCATTAGCTTACGCAGCGCCAAGATTGGATGTCATATTCGTAATAGATGTTAAATCACCCCCGTATTAAAGTATTCAGCGGATTTGGTGATCTAGGCACTTAATGAATAAGCCGCAGCGCAAAAGAGAGCGCCTCAACGCGATTAGCCTTCGCACGCAGTTGTTAAGTGAGTAGAGTGTATCGTAGGTTGGTATCAACTGCGTTTTCCAGCGTTTTCCCCTGTTTTTCCAACCAATTGGCAAGGGAACGGATTACACTCGGGCCTGCTCAACTACCGGACACGCCCGTCCTTCATCCGCAGAGAAACCTACATATACTAATGAAGTAAACTGAATAATGGCTTTTCGAGCTAGTCGCCTTTTTCTAGATGGGTTACTCACTCTATTTTGTTCATGGACGTGTGGTAAAGTTTACTTAACCCAACAGCATAGAAAATTCTCCTGGTCTCAACGCAGGCACGTTCTGTTATGGCGAAAATCTTAAGAAACACGATTCTACTCAAAACCTCCTACTCTTGTGAGAGGACCCTCTCCCATTCCCCAACCTAGCTACCATCTTCCTAAATTTTTCCAACTTCCTATCACTTTTTCAGAGTTCGGAGTTTTTTTTTCGACAATTTTTCCTCTCTTTTTGTAAGGACTGCCGCTTGGGCCGGGCGGGGGGGGTTAGGGGAATAGCACCGATGAAACAGGACCACAAGGAAAGTTAACAACCGAACCTCTCCTCAAGATCTTTCAGGGGCATAGTATGGATAAGTCTCTCAGAAACCTAGTACATATTTGCCCCTGAAGTTTGAGAGAGAGGTTCAGTTGTTAACTCCCCACCCCCCGCTGGGATTTCCCAAAAATCGCGACGTGCCTGGGAGTCATCGCTATCTAAAAGCCCCTCTAATACTATATTGAAACGACATTCTAGAAGTTTCCGTGCAGTGTTTCGTTTTCAAAACTACCTTTGTTACCTAACAAATGAGAGTTACTGAGGGCATCGAGTCTACAAGGTTGAAACGAATGAATTGAGATTCACTCTAATCTGCTGTCCCACATGGTTCTTAAGGTGACGTATTGTGGCATACAACGTGAGGTTACCATTGTGTTTGCAGTTCGAGCATCGTACTGCTGAAATTCTAAGCTGAATACTGGCTGCTTTTGAGAGGTTTTAGGTGAATAGAGAGAGATGGCTTGACGTTTTCAAGAAACACCTGATAATCCGACTGAGATTCAATGCTTTGACATTCCAATAGAACATCTGTACATCGTTGAGTCGGACTACTTCATCTTGAGTAGTGAATAGCTGACATCCGAGATCGAATTTCCTTTTGATGGCATTGATGGCGTTGAATTGCCACGCTTCAACGGTACTCATCTTGTGTGAGACCATTGTGAATCGTGAGATAATCTCTGCCGGTATTGCAGGAGGAAATTTACTGAGCAATTTCAGCTGAACCATATGAACCGCTAAAAAGCGCTCGCCACCTCTCATCACAGTCGGCATTGTCGTGTTGATCATATCCACGGCCATATGCCAGTTGTACAGAAATTTGGAGAACTGCTCACCTGAAACAGCATAAATTGAGCACAGGTCTGTAAGAAGTAGGAGCAGTAAGAAAGTGCAGGATGCTAATAACCTTGGTGGAGGCATCGAAGGACTCCTTATGCAAGGCTAGACTGATTAATAGATGATGGGGAGACTTTTGTCTAAGTCTAAAGGGGTGATGAGATAGTCCGAGGGTGGTGAGCCTATATCTAGTACTGTTACAGATGATAACGTCGCAATCGTCGCGGGGATTTTTGTAGGCATTGAATGAGACCACCCGCAGCGTCCTCATCACTGGTTGTTATCTTCCTAAATCGTTCATTTATTGTATACTGTTGGTAGAGCGAAGTAGCCAGGAGAGGGCTCATTCTGCTCCGGCGCAGTTCGGCTACGGGGAAAGCCTGTCAACTTGAAAAGAGGCTGTCTAGATAGGACGACACGTCGATGGGAAGTAGCAAAAGAGCAGAAGCATGATGTAACCCACCCCCTCCCCGTCGTCGAACTGTGCCTTCCGCCCCTCTTCACACCCTTCGGAAGAATTCCAGCTCTGCGCAAAGAACCCTATGAATGCTCGCTTTGAGATCATTGGCGCTGGGATTGGTAAAAGCTCCGTAATATTAGTATTCCAAATATTAGGAATCAGCCTATTTCATTCTACAGCAGCAGGGGGTTTCAATTGGTTTCCAGTTTGCTAAATTCACAATCAAGTGGTGAACTAGATATGATACAGTAACATCAGCTGTCATGCGAAGTCATTCTCTGTTCAACTGCGCAATCACACGCTTACACAAAGCCAACTGGTGGTTTGGTGCGTGGCGTATACCAAAGGACTAATAAATGCACGAAGCTTTGCACTTTCAGTCGACTACATCGACCAAATTCAGCGAATTTTCATCAAAATCTCGACTTATTCGGTTGATTCTGTATTTCCAGCAAAGGCTCATCTGAAAGTGTCGGAAGTCGGAACACGTTCAGACCAAGCAAACAGAGTTTATTTAGACTTCAACGAAGGGTTAAAGCGGGGCCGAAGTTTGAAAAGCAAAAAATCAAAATACGAAAAATAAGTGGAAAATCAACGAGAATCCGATTTCGGAATGATAACGTCCTTCTTGTTTTTACATTTTGGGAATTTCCAAGTAGAACTTGCTTTTCTATACAATTAGGTTTCTTGCATAACTGTTTCCGGTACTGGAAGTCTGGACAGCGTTGTTGAAGGGTAAAAGACACAGCTTCCAAGTTTTACAACTCCCCATTCGCAATTAAGAATTTCGAGTGCGACATGGACCATAAATTAATGAATCGTGAGGCCAGAAAATGTACAGAGCGGTCTTTTCAGCCGTCCAAACACGACTGGAATCAGTAAACCGACCCCGAAGGATATAAGCCTTGGCTGGTCTGGGGTGATTCTAGTTTTGAGCCCCACGTATGCATGGTGAGCGGCACCATTTGCCACTGCGCCTCTCCGTTTTTCTATAAATATTTGTTGGTTGTTGAGTATTCATATTATTTCTCTCGAAGCAGCCTACGGTTGGTTGCTAACAGCTTTCATTTTCCGAAGGTTCAATTTTTGCATGTTCATCGCTTTCTCATAAATTTTCTACTAACGGGCTCACTACAGCTCCCCCCTACCCCCCCCCAGGTATGTAATGCTTAGTTGGCCTGAGCGGGAGCTGACCTGAAATTTGAGTCGGAACGTGTCCGTGGTAAGCAAAACGCCGCTTGTCCATTGCCACCTCTTCACGTCAAGCCCAGAAATGCGAAGAAGCAAATCAATTTTACAAGGCACTAGTACCGCGCTGAGGGTGTATGAGACTATCAGCCCCTCAGCTGTCGATGTGTCGTGGTCCCCCGCCCAAACATGCCCAGGAATGGAGATACAGGACCGTGAAACACGCTAATTCTTCCATGCTCCGCCTTACACCTTTTTGCGGCGCAGATTCCGTCCTTCACTAACATAAACCGTTGCAAAGCGCGCGGTGTCGCGTGACGGCCTCCCGTGGCATTTGAATTTCAATTCTGCTCTTCAAATACAAGTAAAACGCATTTTCTGATGCGGATAAACATTGGAGGCTAGCTAAGCTAATAATTAACGAACATGAGATTCGGGATGACGAGGATCAGACTTAAAAGCAACTGTGCCACTTCATGCAACATTCCTCTTGGCGCGTATTTCCACGAAACATGGAAAAAAGGCATACTCGTTAGTTTGATACAAGCAAAACGCAATTTCCTGATGCGAATAAAATTTTAGGTGTTGCTCATGCTTCAAAATCCATGTACAAGGAGATGAAGATGACACAGGCTAGAAATGAAGCACAACGATGTAAATGTAAATAAAACAAAAATGAAAAAAATCAAGGAAAGGCAAATTAGTTGAAATCGCCTGTAAATTTCTACGATCCGGCGCCAAAGCCATAGAAATACTTAGAACAAACGAGTGGGACGCTTGGATTGTTTTTATTCTCATGTTTTGTGGGAATGCGCGGCCTCTGATGGATACTGCAGATGCAGCCGAGTTGCTCTTGAGTTCTGGCCCTTGTCATCATCTTCTGTTCTTATTTTGTAGCACCTCCAATGTTATCCGCATCAGGAAATTGCGTTTTACTCGTATTTGAGAGCGCAATTAAAGGACTTGGCAAAGTGCCAAGGAGCCGCACGCGACACGCGCGCTTGCAACGGATGTTATGAAGGACGGGAATCTGCGCCGCAAAAGGTGTAAGGCGGAGCATGGAGGAACTAGCGTGTTTTTCACGGTCCTGTATCTCCATTCCTGGGCATGTTTGGGCGGGGGGACCACGACACATCGACAGCTGGGGGCTGATAGTCTCATACACCCTCAATGTGTTTGAACGTACCATGTGTCTTTAATACAGCTCGTTGCTTACCTGTCGGTACCTGACGCGCGTCACAGAATGCAGACGGCGGAGGAGCAGCTCGAGGTAGTTGTGCACCACTAGGGGATTCGGCAGGAGGCACGTCTACGCTACCCGCGTCTGAACTACCATAGCGTTTCTTGGGTGGGCGAGGATCAGATGGCGATGCTGCCACATCGCATCTTTCGATAAGTCTTTCTTCGTGACTCCCTGGTGACGCTCCTGACGTTTTTATGACGGTGACAGCCTCTTGTGCGTCGAACACCTGAACAGGAAAAATTTGCTTTGAAGTTCATTATGAATGTGATGTTTCGCTCGAAAAATAAAGTGCATGGCGCAGCTATGAGAAGTGGAGGGGGCAGGCCATATGAGGCAGGCGTGGACGCAGTCCACCCAAGGCTGCGTATTTCACAGTAGTAGGCCGCGTCCAGCGGTAGCAACTACTGGTGCTGGTAAGACGCAGTCAGTTAGTGGCCTCGTCCCTCGTCTGCATGGTTCTGCACTGCTGTAGCGCGACCCTTTTTGAGAGACTGGAAGCAGATATTAACCCAGACCTGAGTCGGTTCTACGGTTAATGAAACTGGCATGATGTGCGTCAGGATACTACCTCTCTTTCTCTACTAAAACTCGAGATTGTTACTCATAACAGTTTGTATCAATAATACAAATTAAAGTGGCCATTTCAGGGCGACGCAGCGACGGGGGAGGGCGTTTCGTACTATCATTGCTTCCCTGGTTCCGGTTTACAAGTCTCACTCTGGTGAAACCTGTGTACTCCTGTGAAGCTGGAGCGAGGTCGCCAAGCCATCATGGTAAAACCTGTCAACTCGGGAGGGAGGCTGTCTAGGTAGTCGACACGTCGACGGGAAGTAGGAGAAGTGCCCTAGCCCCTCCTTACCCAAAATGCCCTAGCCCCTCCTTACCCCCCCCCCCGTCGCCGAACTGCGCCAATAGAGCGCTCAGTGGTGATCCATTCTTTTTGGTATGCGTTACGTATTCCACTTCCGTTAAGAGTCGTAAAGGCATGTTGTAGATGACAGTCTCTATAAATTTACTTGCGAGAGCCAGCTAATGAGCCTGTCGGCCTGTCCACGTTCACGGACTACTCTGGCACCAAGTAACCGGTACCGGAGGGTAGAAGGCTTGATTAGCCTGGGCGAGAGCCTATCCAGGGTTTGACCCCCGGCCCGCGCGGGTGGAGTCGTGCCACTTGCCACCACACCATCTCCAGGAGGAAGTAGTATGAACTCAGGAAAATTTAGGAAGGTGGTAGGCAGGATGAGGAAAGGTGGTACTGTAGGAGGGGATTCCGGCTGTCGTAGTAGCACCGCCTTTTCACACATCATGATATTGTACCCAGATTATGATCGCGACTTGACGATACTATTGTTTGATTTATGGTAGAGTCAGCGTTATCTACAGTCTTGTTCGCTGCGTGTAAAGGAGGCTGGGTTTGGCGCGAAGCCAGAACCATTCTGCCACCAACTCTGGAAAGAAGAGGCAACAACTGGTGCAGAACGGGCTGGCGTCGCCCCAAACCCAGCCCCTTGACACGCCCCAGCATCCACATCAAATAAGACTGTGTAAAAGGTGAAAGGGGTGAAAGAATGAAGTAGCTGATCATTCTACCTGCATCGTTGTGTGAAACACAAAAGGGGGGGGGGGGGAGTCGTAGTTTTCCGCCTGGAGGAGGGGGGATCGGCTTTGAGAGAAATTTGCCGCGTTGGAAAAAAAATTTCCTGGTTGTTGACTTTTCTTGTGATTTTCCCTATTTCATGTGTACTACATACTCCTCCCCCTCCCCGCTCAACGGAAAAATTTTGGGAAAACTGGGAAATGTGGGGAAAACAGTAATTAGGCGTTGGGGA